TTCAATATAATTATCAAGTACATCTACAAAATCGAATTCATTTAATAAACTTAAAGGAATATCATCATCAATGTTGGATATTGGTTCAATATCTGATAAAAAATTAGATTCTTCATCACTTTCAGAGTCTAAATATTCTATATAAAATATATTATCCAAATCTTCTAAGGTAGTGATGATAGCTTCATTCGTGTTATTGTCATTAGAACGTATATTATATTCCATATTCTTTAAAAATTTTGGGTTTAATAAAAATTTTTACAAATTTCTTAAGCATTTACATTCATTACATCCACATACACTTATGTGCGTACGTACGTATGCATATACATATGTACATACGTACGTACCAAGTATCAGGCATGTATGAATGTACGTACGTAGTACCTGAATTGCCTTAAACTTTACAATTTCGGGTATCTAAAAAGATACCAAATAAATAATATCGCAGATCAAGTACGTACGTATAATCATTGTTATGTAGTAAATTGATTTTCTTTTAAAACTTACCATAACAGTAACAAAAAAAAATACCGGATTTATACACCATTTTACTAATATATTTGATAAAAAAATATCATTTTTAGAAACACTAGACCTATAAGCAAATCATTGATATAAAATCTCCAAATCTGATTGGTTGGTTCATTGCCACCTTTTGCTGCGACGGGTTCCATATATATTTTTTCCTACTGTTAAAAAAAAATGCAATTAATAAATATTAAAAATTAATATAAAAATTATATTTTTTTTTACTTGCCTATAGTACTATAATTGAGTTTTTTGCAAAACTTGATATTTTTGAGTTGTTAGCCAAGGTGGTTTGGTGGCTTTTTTAGTACAATCTTTAACTATATGTTTATTAGTTTTCCAATACTAAAAACAGTAACTATGAAAATGTGAAATTTATTCACAGTTTATAGCCTAGTGATCTTTAGTACAACAAAAAGCACAAGTTTAATTAAAGTTTTATGATTTTGTGAACTTCTAATAACAACACTTGAAGGTATATTCTCCCAATCCTCAAATAGAGCTAGTAGCAGTTGTGATGATCAAAGAAGTAGAGGCAGTAGTTGTTGTAGTAACAAGAATGAAGATGTTAAAAATAGAGGTAGAAAAAAAAGTTAAGTCTGAACTTTTATTATTTATTAAGCTTTTTTTTTATTTTAAAATATAAAGAATAAAAGCACTTGCTATTTCTTGTAATTTTATTAAACTATTTATAATATATTAAAATTTAGACATTATTACTTTACAAACCTGATTTTTTTTTAATCTAATAGAAAGAATATAAGAAATATTTTATAAGAAATAAGAAGATAAGATTAATCTTTAGTATAACTGGGCAATATAGAAATACTATAAAATTATAATATAAATAAATAACTATTTAACTTAATTTATACAAATTTGAGACTAGTTAGGGTTAGAGTAAGGGTTATAGTGTATATTAAAGTTAAATTAGGGTTAGAGTTTGTGTTTTTTTATATTATAATCTTATAATATTTTTATATTGCCCAGTTATTCTAAAGAAGATCCAAAGATAATCCTAATTTAGTAATTTAGAAGATGATAATGATAACAATAACTATAATTAGTAATATTCATAATATCTCAATTAATATTGAAAAGCATTTGTATTATATAATATTCTTTGTATAGTACACCCTCCCAAAACTGATCCTGTCAAAACTGATAACCTGCTATAAATGATAAAAAATTGATCCACCATGTCCGTTTCATAATTAAAACTCAATAACTTGCCATTTCTGATAATTAATACCAAACAATATCAGATATCTATAAGATATCAATTTTGACAAATACTATAAATCGATTTGATTGGCTCAGATCAGGTTTTGTATAACAAATTATATATATAAGAAATATAATCCAGCCAATTATATTTACTGTTGAACCTCCCCAAACCGATATGCATGGTAGATCAATTTTGTATCAGTCTTAAGAGGTTATTAGATTTGAAAAATATTATAAACTATTAGATTTATATAACAAAAATGGACTTTGTAGACTAATTTTTTATCAGATTTGACAGGTTATCAGTTTTGAGAAGATTGATTTAGAGAGGTTCAACGGTAGTTATAATCATATAACAACAGACTATTAATATTTTAAATCTAATAATTTCTCAAAACTGATACAAAAGCCATCTACCATGCATATCAGATTTGAGAAGATATACTGTATTTATTTGGACTATGCCAGTATATAATTTAGACTAGAAGTGATTTTTTATTAAAAATGTATTAAATAAATCAGTAGCTAACTAAATTGGACAAAATAGCAAAGATATTCTGCAACAAAGCAATTATAATTATACTAAAAATCACTGTAGAATTATTGTAGTTAGTAGAGCTATTTTTTGCTTGCTAAAGCAAGCTAGCTATAAGAGAAGAATGCAAATGAAAAAATGCAAGTAAAAATCATATATATATATTTTTTTTTGATGTTAAGGTGACCTCTATAGCCAGGAGCTTTTTATTAAATAATTAACAATGTTTACAATTATGATGAGAGTACAACTAGCCACACGTACAACTTTTGGTTATCTATTTGAGTAGTCCGCCTAAATTTTATACTAGCCACCATACCTGCAATCTAACTAAAAAATTATTTATTTAAGCTTTCTGGCTTTTACAAGTGAAAGTACAACTAGCCATACCTGCAACTTTTGGTTGCCTATTTAAGTGTCTGCCCAAGGTTCCATACTAGCTACCATACCTGCAACCCAACTAGAGGATTACCTATTTAAACTCTCTAGTCACAACCAGCCTGTCATTTCTTATCTAACCAAAGTATAACTCACTATTTATATGCTAGATTTTGTGACACCTGTAAATTTTACACCCTACCTAGAACTACTTTATCCTCAAGATATTTTTTAAAGTTTATAATTCTATTATTTGTTTGTTTTTTTTTTAACTTGTGATGCTAAAGCTATTTATACTTATATGATTTTTTTTTTATATAATATAAAGACTAAATATTTTCCAAAGAAGTTGATTTATATAGTGAGGTTTTATTATTATATGCCTATTATAATATTTTTAAATTTTAATAAAATACAAATAATTTGATGCTATAGTTTTAATTACTATGATATTAAGTAACTTGAGTTCTATAATTCAAATCAATTATCTTTGTAATAGTTTTATATTGTTAAATTTAGTTGCAAAGAATTTGTAGTTATCACTATTTATTATGCTATTTTGTAGTTTGTAGTTAAGTGTATATACTTTTTTTTCTTTTTTTTGATAAATTTATTTTTTACTGTTTGATATTTATATTAAAAACAATTTTACTTTTATAAAAAAAAACTACTTAAATAATACTTTTAAAATTATTTTATCTATTAAATAAAAAAGAATTACAAATCAAAAATAAAACAAGAACTATACTAAAATTATTAAACTCTTAAAATTATTACTTTTTAACTATCTATTACTTCTATAGTATATTGTTAATAAATATAAAATAGAATAGTTTAGCTATATATATTTTTAATAATATTTAAATATTAAAAATAAAAAAATATTAATCTGAAGTTAAGAAAAAATTTTGAGTATTGCTTTAAACATGGTTCAAATATATATGTCTATTATTTGTAACAAGTTATATTGATTATCAAATCAAAAAAGCTTAAATACAAATTTTAATTTATTTTATATTCAATATTTAGATATACTTATATACAGTAATTAAAATTTCATACTGAAAACTTTTATTTAAATTCAAACTAATAAAACCTTGAGTTATTTATAATTTTTTTGTTTTCTCAATAAAAAAACAAAAAAATTATAAGTAATATAAAATTTTATTATAATAACTAGTGCTTGGCAAAATCAAACTTTTTTTTGACACTCAAATACATGTAATGGCTAACTTTTAAATCAATATAGCAATACTGTATTTTATAGTTATTGTATTACCATATTGCTGTATTGATTTAAAAGTTAAATCATTATATGTATTTGAGTATTAAAAAAAAGTTTGATTTTGCCAAGTACTAATAATAACCATAATTTGATTTTTAAATAAAAGTTTTTAGTATAAAATTTTAGTTATATAAATATATTTAAATATTGAATATAAAGTAAATTAAAATTTATACTTAATAGTTACAGAATATGTTTGTATATAAAATCTTTGCTATCAAAATAACCCTCTAAGAATATGTTAATTTTGTAAATAAAAATTAAATTTGCTAGCTATTTAGTAATCCAATTTGTACCCAGAAGAGCTAGATTTAAACAACTTTTTTAATATATAACCTGATAGTTGCTAGTTCTTGTAAAACTGTATAAGCCAGATATATAGTAAATGCTATAGAAGACACTTTCTCTGTGGTATCATCTTTAATATCATTAGCCTCCTATGATCTATATACCTTACAACCTCTTCAACAATATAATCTTTATATACTTCTCTTACCTGACAATGAACTTCTTATCGATTTCAATCCTGAAGATAACTTTAAATATAAAATTGATAGTCTACAATTAAAAACTATAACTTAGATAACCAAACAACTTAGCACTATTGCCCATTCACATGCTATAACAAATTTCTCTTTTACTATAAACTACTCCTACTCAAACATCTCCAAACTATTTGCTCTTTTCTTACTTACATACTACATGATTATCCTTCATATTACTTACTTTTCTATATTAAAATTTCTATCTTTAACACCAATGACAAAGATAATAAGTATACAGAAGTATATATATACCTACCTTATAAACACTGCCTACTTCCTAACCATTTTACATCTCCTTTCCAAGACCATTTATGTTGGTTTAGATATGTTTCTCTTAAAATATATTGTCATAACCCACAACAGAAATACTTCAATCTATGTGATCTATATCTAACTATTGCTACTCACAATGTTAGAGGCTTCAATATTGCTTCTAAAAAACAAATCTAGCAAGATTACTATATTAACCATAATATTAACATTGTCTGCATTACCAAAACTAAGATTTCAAACAAAACCAAACTCTCTTTTTGTAACAATAACCTTTACACATACTACTAGGCAAATTCAGATACAGTATAACCTGTTAAAACTGATATTGTCAAAACTGATAACTTGTCAAAACTAATAAAAAATTGATCCACCATCTCTTAATTAAATATAGTAATTTTACTCTTCAAACCTGATAACTTGTCAAACCTGATACAAATTTGGTCCATCATGC